TCAAAACTTATTCAAACATGATGATCTAGAATTAATTTCTATCCAACAAAAAAAAAAAAAAAAAATTGATGGGGAGCTCTATCAAATCTGCCACAAAATTTCGTCTACTCACCAATCCACTTTAGGGACTTGCAACGGAAAATTGAAATACGAAACAAATCTTACAATACCGAACAGTTCGATTTTTGCAATTTGAAACCAAACCAGTGTAAAAAAACCGTTTGGTTTGGTTTTGAACATCTGAAACTACATCGAAATCCAACCTTACCACACTGCAAAAATTAAATAAATATTAATTTAATACCATATTAGGTGTTGGGTTCTAATTGGTTATTTGGTCGAATCCATACATCGGTTTCACTTTCACAAGGTCCAAGGTCTTCCCAAATATCACCTTTTCAAGCTCGTTCACAAGCTTAAAGGTCTCCTCAACCTTTGAAGATTAAGTGTCCAAAAGAAAGGGGAGGGCAAAGGGTTAAACGATGCAAAGTATTGACTTGAAAGTTGAAACACCAAAATTTTTTTGTTGAATTGCATGAACAATTTATTTTTTCTGGTTGTACTACTAAAGCCATAAGGCATTTTGACGTTGAACGTTAGTTTTAGTGTGTAGATTTAACTTTTTGGGTAAAGTACAAAAAACTAGCCTCAACTATTGGTCTCACGACACTTTCATACCTCATCTTTTTAAAATGACAATGTTATACCTCATCTTATGAATTTGTGCCAATGTCATACCTCTGTCAGTTTTTCTGTTAAATGCTGACGTGGCTTGGCTTAAATAGTGACGTGGCTTAAATAAATTAATTAAATATTAAAAACTACAAAATTAAAATCATTTAATATTTTTTTTACATGGGGACCCACCCCCTTTCCCCCTCCCGTCTTCCCCAAATCTAATCCACCCCCTTTATTCCCCACCCACCCCCTTTCTCCCTTCTCTTATCTGCAACCCCACCCACCTTTCTTTCATTTATAACTCGCACTCACCCTCCATTCTCTCCTCTTCATAGTCGACTCCATCCACCAACGACCATCACCTTCTTCCATATTCTAATTGATGACATCAAAGTCGCCGATCTTCGGCACACCAACCTCACCCCTCCCCGGGTACCCACTCCCTCCATTGATCTCCTCCCCTTCCTTACCAAACTACCCATATGGGTTCGAATACTTCTGCAAATCCTTGACAGCCTTGTCGCCCATGATTATCAAGTAATCGACTTCGTCGTCAGGTTTGCAGAAGTTAAGGATCGCCTCTGCCACCTCCCTCTGCTCCCGCAACCTAGCACCATCTTCAAGCCCAGCAAAATGCAGCAACAATCCCGCGCCCACCACCTTTGCTGAGTCTCTGGTGAATACAACTTGGGTTTTTTTTTTATTTTTTATTTTTTTTTCCTAGGAAAAATTAAATGGTTTTGCTTTGTTCGGTTGCTCGAAAAATGTGGGAGAACGGAAATGAATTTTTTTGATATTCTGAAGGTTCCATTTTCTTAGAAAGGTGAGGTAAACTGGAAGATGGATTTTTGAACTTTTGTTAATGGTGTGTTCTCAGAATTGGTGGGTGCTTTGTTTTTGATGCATGCTTGTAGGTTAGAAATAGAGAGAAGCGGCGGAGGAAGAGAAGAGAGGCACTTGATGGGAATGGAAGTGGCTGGTTTGGGGTGGGATTTGGGTTTGGGTTAGGGGAAGACGGCAACCTTGTCGGCCCCAACCTTGACAGCTCTCCCTCTCTCCCTTTCTCCTTGACAGCTTTGGAGACGGCAACGACGACGGATCGTTGGTGGGCAATGGAGTGGGAGAGGGAAGCGGGTTAGAGCTTGCAGGTAGATCTGAGAAAGGACGGCGGATGAAAAAATCCAGGTGGGTTTGGGGGGTTCTAGGCACGGCAAGAGAGAGAAGTAGGGAGGAATGAGACTACGGTGGAGAGGAGAGGGAGATGCGAGAAAGAGAAGGGAGAGAAAGGGTGGTGGAGGAAGGTTGGGGGGACGGGTGGGAAGGCGACCTGGGAGGGGTCGGGTGTGAAGGGGTTTTGGGGATGCAGAGAAGAGAGAGAGGCAATAGGGAGGGGGAGAGAGAGAAAGATATTTAATACAATTTTTTTTTAATTTTTTAATTTTAATTATTAAAATATATATTTAATTATATTTTAATCTAGTTGGATTAGTGATGACCCCCGTAGATAGTCACGTCAGTACTTAACAGAGAAACTAACAGAAAAACTGACGGAGGTATGACATTGGCACAAATTCGTAAGATGAGGTATGATATTGTCATTTTAAAAAGATAAGGTGTGAAAGTGTCGTGAGATCAATAGTTGATGTAGTTTTTTGTACTTTACCCTAAACTTTTCAATTGGGTTGTACTAAAATAATGCCATAAGTCATTTTGGATGTTGAACTTTATTTCAAGTTGAATTTTAGTATGTTGATCATGAATTTTTTTTTAATTGAGTTGTATTAATGGCATAAAGCATTTAGTTTACAAATGGTTTGAAACCAAAACCTAAACCGTTTCATATAACGTAATTGAATTCTCTGCATAGAAGCTTAAAGTACGTAGATCTTGTGTATAAATATGAAATAAAAACATATCGACAACACCAAAAGAACAAAGTATAACATGATCAAAATGGCCTTTTTTTAAAAAAAATTTATCGAATAAAAAATGTCATGAAGGACAAACTGAAAATTTCACCATAACTGTAGGGTTACATCAAGGCTCATCTTTAAGTCCTTACATTTTTGCATTGGTAATAGATGAGCTAACGAGACATACTCAAGATGATATTCCTTGGTGTATGCTTTTCGCAGACGAAAGAATGTTGATAGATGAAACTCAAGATGTAAATGTGAAGCTTAACCTTTGGAGAGAAGTGTTGGAATCTAAAGGTGTTCACTTAAGTCGATCAAAGACAGAGTATATAGAGTGGAGGTTCAGTGCAAACAGGAGGTTCAAATGAGTTAGGGGTGATGAATTTAGATCAGGAAGTACCAAAGAGCGATCGCTTTCGCTACTTACACTAGTACAAAAACATGTTTGCACGATGCAGAAAATTTCGTCGCGCAAATTATGTTTGTGAGATGCAAAACACAAAACGTCGCGTAAACGGGATTTGCGCAACGACACTTTGAGCGACGAATACTGGCATCGCGCAAAATTTTTTATTTTTATTTTTATTTTTTCCTTTTGCTTTCCTGCATTGCCTTTTTCTTTTGTGGTATCCAATTGTGTAAATGTTTGAAATTGACGATCGAATTTGTTCATTGTATTCATATAGGGTTAAGGAGTGTAGCTGGAAAAAATCATCAAAATCGGAGTTAAAATAACCGTTAAATCGTGATTTTTCATTTATACCCGTCGAAAAGGTTTGTCCAATTACTTGATAACTGAATGTTTGTTTTTTGCGATTTTTGGCGTACGTGATCTCGAAGTATATACAAACAAGTTTGACGGTTGGATCATTGAAACTAGTTTTGTACAATGTGTATCCCATCAAAACAATAGATTCACTGACACTTGAAGTATCCACTTGTGTATAACATAAGATTTTGTGATATCCACTTGTGTAAATATTTTAAATTGACGATCAAATTAGTTCATTGTATTCATATAAGATCAAGGAGTGTAGCTGTAAAAAATCATCAAAATCAGAGTTAAAACTATCGTTAAATCATGCCTTTTTCATTTATAAGCGTTGAAAAGTTTCGTCCCATTACTTGATCTATGCATGTTTGTTTTTTGCAATTTTTGGCTCATGAGATCTTGAAGCATATACAAACAAGTTTGACGGTTGGATCGTTGAAACTAGTTTTGTACAATGCATTTCCTATCAAAACGATAGATTCACTAACACTTAGAGTTTATTTATACTTTCATTAAGTACAACATAAGATTTTGTGGTATCCACTTGTGTAAATATTTTAAATTGATGATCAAATTAGTTCATTGTATTCATATAGGATCCAGGAGTGTAGCTGTAAAAATTCATCAAAATCGAAGTTAAAACTACCGTTAAATCATGCTTTTTTGTTTATAACTGTTGAAAAGGTTTGTACTGTACTTGATCTCTGCATGTTTGTTTTTTGCGATTTTTGGTGTATGTGATCTTGAAGTAGATACAAACAAGTTTGACGGTTGGATCGTTGAAACTAGTTTCGTACAATGCGTTTCCCATTTAAACGATAGATTCACTAACACTTAAGAGTTTATTTATACTTTCATTAAGTATAACATAAGATTTTGTGGTATCCACTTGTGTAAATATTTTAAATTGACGATCAAATTTGTTCATTGTATTCATATAGGATCCAGGAGTGTAGCTGTAAAAAATCATCAAAATCGAAGTTAAAACTACTGTAAAATCGTGCTTTTTTGTTTATAATTGTCGAAAAGTTTTGTCCCATTACTTGATCTTTGCATGTTTTTTTTTCACGATTTTTGGCGTATGTAATCTCAAAGCATATACAAACAAGTTTGACGGTTGGATCGTTGAAATTAGTTTTTTAGAATGCGTATCCCATCAAAACAATACATTCACTAACACTTTAGAGTTTATTTATACTTTCATTAAGTATAACATAAGATTTTGTGGTATCCACTAGTGTAAATATTTTAAATTGACGATTAAGTTCATTCATTGTATTCACATAGGGTCAAGGAGTGTAACTATAAAAAATTATCAAAATCGGAGTTACTTTTAAATCGTGATTTTTTGTTTATAATCATTGAAATGTTTTGTCCCGTTACTTAAGTTCTGAATGTTTTTTTTTTTTTTTTTTGCAATTTTGGGCGTATGTGATCTTGAAGCATATACAAACAAGTTTGACGGTTGGATCGTTGAAATTAGTTTTGTAGAATTTTATAATATTTTTTTTTAAAATATAACTTGCGCGACACCTAGATGGGGTTGTTGCGCAAAACCACTTTGCGCGACATCGTAATGTATACATGCGTCGTGCAATGTGTTAAAAATTTGGTGGTAGTTTTGTAAAAATTAGGCGTTTTTTTTTTTTTTTTGATTTTGCCAAATTTGGACAAAATGGGAGTGTAAAAATTTGGTCTCTCTTGCTTCTCTCTCACTCGTTCTCGCACATCTCGTGTAGCAGCCTGAGCCCTAAGCCTTGAGCCTCCTCTCTCTCTCAGTCTTCAATCACTATCTTAAACTCTTTGTCTCTCATTCCCAACACCATCTCTCGATTTCTCTCTATTTCTGCCTTCATCCAAAAAAATTTCACATGCCTCCACCTCAGGTTCACACATTCAATCTCATTATTTGCATATTTAATTTAATGTTTGTGCAATTAATTGTGCTGTAAAGGGAAGAAATTAGATCCATGGTTGAAAAGGATGGGTCTGCAAAGGGAATTGTTTTCAGCCAGTTCACATCGTTCTTGGATATTTCAAGGTTCGACCCGAACCCCAAGTTCTGTTTCTGCAGGTTTTTAGATTTCTAGGGTTTTATATTTGTGTATGCGAATTGGGATTTCTGGTGGTTCATTGTTTTGTACTTTTAGCATAATTTTTTGTACTATATGGCTTAAAGCAAAATGCACAAATGCGGATTATTATATTCTGCTAATTTAGCTTAATATTTTATGTAGTTGAGTTGTTGCTTGAGTATCATTAAAGTAGGAAAATAGTGGTGCTATAGCGGAAGAAGATGGAAGAGAAACAGTTGAGTCATCCTCTTTCTATTTTAGGTAACATAATTTTGTCACTTTTCATTTTTCCTTATCTCCATGATCTCTTACCTTTGAGATTAATCACTTTGGATCATCTTACTTCCATTTCAAAATGGCAGTTACTAAACACAATAGGTTAAAGTATCTTGTGGGTTTAAGAACTCTGTTGCATTCATGCTTATAAGACTAGCACATGGTTTTCTTTTTTATATGAAGTTTATGAAAAGAGGATTGTGGCTGAAGCTGGATGCTTCATAGTATCGTAAGAAGAGTCTGATGATAGTCATGTCAAATAGTCAAATATGTTTTGTATTAATTTGTCTTCTGCAAGGATTGGATGTCTTATCATATATGCATATGTGTTTTAATCTCCATTCATGTGCTACCCTTGGATCTCTTTCCAGATTGGTAAATTATGAAACATTAGCATATATCTAGAATTTTTACTGAAGGCTTAGACCCATAGCCAAGCCTAGAATTGTAATTTATGAGAGAAAAAAAAGCATATGTAGTCGAAATAGCAATGACCTATTGTACTGTTATCTTGCAGTATCTTATGTCCCTTTATGACCAGTTTTATAAGCTTGTCTGCATAAAGCCGAATCAGACTTTAATTTAACATTGATATACCTATATATCGCAGTTAGAATTTTTTCAAGTCGACCTTCGTTTTATTCAATGATGTTCTGCCTGTGTGGTTTCTGTGTTTGGTTCTTAGAACTTAGGAATGCTTACCTTTAGATTTGTGGATAAACTAGTCTTTGCGCATTCTTGTGTTTGTCTGATCAATCTAGTTTTAATTTTCAACCCCAGATAAATGCATTGGTGCTTATACATCAATTTCCATCCATGTATAAGTGCATAATACACTCATTTAAATAACCCCATTATGAGGACTTATCATTTTCTATTCATCTACAGGACTTTGATGAGTGCATCGATTATATTGACGAAGCTACAAGATCTGGTGGTGGTGTGTTGGTTCATTGCTTTGTGGGAAGATCCAGAAGGTGATTTTATCTTCCAGTATAGGTTGTTGCTTTCAGGTTGTCTTCTTTGCTGTCTTAATTTAAGTTATCAGTTAAGTGAATCCTTCAAATAAGGTTTTGTTGATCTCTTTCATACAACATGGATAAGAAATAATGTTCTAGCATTAAATTTTCTATGATTTTGCATCTCAGTTATTAATATTAGAACAGAAAAAAAAATTTGGGCTTTCAATTGCTGGTTTTAACTAGTTAAAGGTCAAGAGTTATCTAGTTTTGTTGCCTAATGACCAATTTTAGATATCTTCAAATTTGCACTATCTCCAATGACCCTTTCTTAGTTAATATTTGACATACATATGCACATATACACCACACAGAGGGACATAGTCTGACTCTCAAAAACTTTGTTCGAGTATTAAGCTCTAGTGATAAGCCACAAGATACAGTTTCCATAGCATAATCAAATTTTCGAGGTTTTGATTTAGAGGCAATATATGCATCAACGTTATGGCTTATGTGATCAGTTTATATCATTGAACGTTAAGGCTTATGTGATCAGTTAATATCTTTGAACATTGAGGCTTATGTGATCAGTTAATTTCTTGGAATTTCATCATATCTTGATTATTCTAAGTAGCCTTCTTCAGTTCAATACTTGAATAAGATATGTGGATTAAACTTTGAAGGTTGACATTTCCAGAGGGACTCCATCCTTGATCCTTATTAACTGAGAAAAGATAAGGTGAAGGGTGCTAACCTTAAGTGGCTTTACCCACATTTGTCCGTCATACTAGCCACTCTCTTTGTAAGGTATAACTGCTGATAGTAGCCTATCACTAACATAACTCCATCCCTGCAGTACGGTAATTATATGATTTACTTGCTTTAAAGATTCTACAATGACAGACGTTCTACTAAACAAATATTAAGCATGAAATTGCTTGGATGTGCTTGTTTTTCTTTCTTAGTGCTTACAATACTACTGTTTAATGTCTCAATATGAAATTTCAAGCCTTGAATTTGTTTTCGTGCAGTCTATACATACCGGGGAACCTGTAGTAATATATTTTCTCTGGTATTCGGGGCTGGTAGAATTAAATCCATGGCTGTTTAGCAGGTACATAATTTGTCATGTGTTTATCTTTTCTCAAGGGAGCCCCTTTAATATAATTTTTCAAGAGTTCTACCTATACAAGTACAAATTTTTTTTCTTGATCCATATGCTTATGTCCATGTAGATAGAGAGAGGCAACAATTGCTGAGGCTCAAGCATTAGGGGCAATAGTTCGCTCTCAAGGTCCTTGGTTTGGAGATGTTCAAAAAATGTGAAGTCTTCAAGTGACAATTTCCTTGTTCGTTGGAGGTCTCATGGATAGTTTGATATTTCTTTGTATATCTCATCGTTTTGTTGTTTACTTTAGAAGATAACTTCTTGTTGTTTTTTCTTTTTTGTTCGAACATCTTATATGTACATTTTGATATATTTTATAATTAAATACTTTTTCTTGGTTTATTAATTATTGTTTAGAATTTAATTACAATATTTATTAAAAATTAAATAAAAAAGATTTTTGCAAAAAAAAAAAAAAAGGGTCTGCACGACGAAGAGTGGTTGCGTTGTGCAAAGCTGTCTTTGAGTCTTTGCAACACATAGGGCCTGCGTCGCGCAAAGACACTTTGCGGGTCGTAGGGCCTGCGTCGCCCAAAGCTACTTTGTGCGACATTGATATGTGCGTCGCGCAAAGTCTCTTTGCGCAATGTATGTTTCTTCTTCGTCGCGCAAACCCTACTATCACTTACTTGGCGCGACGGTTAGCGCGCAACGAAGGTTTCATTGCGCTATTTTTCTGGCAACGATTTTTTTACTTTGCGCGACGAAGGTACCTACATCGCACAAACGCGTTTTTTCTACTAGTGTCAGGATTTATCTTGCAAAAGAACGGAGAGTTGGATGGATACCTCAACCATAGAATACAAGCTGGATGGATGAAGTGTTAAAGTGCATCTGGTGTGTTAAGTGACCGTCGTATGCCACTAAAGCTCAAGGGAAAATTTTATAGGATGACAATAAGGTCGGCAATGCTTTATGACACATAATGTTGGGCAGTGAAGCATCAACATGTACATAAAATGGGTGTAGCGGAGATGAGAATGCTTCGTTGGATGTGTGGGCACATGAGAAAGGACATAAGATTAGGAATGAGGATATATGAGGTAAAGTAGGAATAGCCAAAATTGAAGGAAAGATGAGAGAAAATCAGTTACAGTAGTTTGGACATGTGAAACGAAGGCCTACTAACGCTCCGGTTAGAAGATGTGATTACGGGACAGAGGTTCAGGGCCGAAGGGATAGAGGACGACCTAGGAAGACTTTGGAAGAGACTCTAAGAAAAGACTTAGAGTACTTGAATCTAACGGAAGATGTGACATAAAACTGAGCACATTGACGTTATAAGATTCATACAGCCAATCCCACTTAGTTGGAAAATGCTATGTTGTTGTTGTTTGTCAAATGATAGGTTTTGTTAGATTAGTCATCGATGAAGTTTGAACTCACGTTGTCATGTAAGGACTCAACTCCTTTCTACCACTGTGGTAAAGGGTAACTTGCATATTGTTTTCTTTTTTCAAGGAAACCTTTTTACTGCTTTGCATCATGCAGTAAAGAGATCTGGATATATGAAAGGTAAAGTTTACCTAAGTAATTAAAGTTAACCCTTTTGTCCCGTTTACCAAATTAAAGTTTGAAGAGACAAATATAAAAAATGTCGTTCTTTATTTTTGAAATTAACAATATACGTAAAAATTATTGTTGATAATGCATGTGATCAAGTGACTGCTTTAATTAGTTATGAAAAAAGGAGTCTCGATCTGCAAAGACTTGCTGTGATTTACCACTATGAATTGATGATACCTATATACTGCCAATAATTTACGGACCTACACAATGTATCAGCCAAAACCCTAGATTGGATGCATTAGTGCTCGTGACGCGATGAGCCAAAACTTTTTTTGTACAGTTAATTTTCTTGATTTGGATGTTAGTTCATATTTGTCAACCATATACACTTTTGACTTAGTAAAATTTGCATGAATTCATCATGAACACTATTTAGAAATGATAGTTTGGATATATTCTTGGGTAAATACGTTTGATCTTAGGGAATGATTTTCACAATCCTTTTTTCCTTACCGGTGTAAACTTGAACATGCAAAAAGAGGTAAAAAAAAAAGCTGTTGAACCATTTTTCTGTTCTTATGTTTGTGTTTGAATTTCAATGCCATGCAGTTTGGTTTTGCAATCTTATAATGCTGAATTATTTATTAGGTCGCAAGACGATCACAAACCAATAATTTATTTTCATTTATTAGTGAGATCAAATTAAGTATGCCTTAAACCCTCAAAGTTAGGAGTGCAAATCTCTTATCCGCTGTGGTGGATCGCAAATAATCGTAAAAGAACATTTCCCAATTTCAGTACTCAACAATCTTCACCATGCGTGCCACCATATTTCTCAGATTTCAAATTGGCAAACACAACTAAGCCAGATTAAATCGAACAGCAGAAATATTTAGTAGTCTGATGTGACAGGGTTTCAATTTAATAATCGAGGGAAGAAATAAAAATTCGGTCATCTCTGTTCATTAAAGTTCCCTTGATTTGGACTGGACCATAAAACATAGAATGGGGAAGAAAGAAACTACTTACATAATTATATATAAATATCCAGTTACAAAAGCAATCATAACGTGGGATCTATCTATGGGCAGGGAAAATAAGAGAAACTCTTATGTGTATATGTAATACAAGGTGATACATTATGAGTTATAATAAAACATGATGATATTGTTAATATATTTCACATTAAAGTATATTTTTTAACGTTCATCCACGTATACTATAACACGTGAAGATTTATGACTTTATATGGCGTTTAGTGAAAGATTATAAATATCCAGTTACAAAAGCAATCATAACGTGGGATCTATCAATGGGCAGGGAAAATAAGAGAAACTCTTATGTGTATATGTAATACAAGGTGATACATTATGAGTTATAATAAAACATGATGATATTGTTAATATATTTCACATTAAAGTATATTTTTTAACGTTCATCCACGTATACTATAACACGTGAAGATTTATGACTTTATATGGCGTTTAGTGAAAGATTATGATTATACTGACCTATCAACATTGTCTGTCTTTCTAATTAGCTGTTCGACGATTTTTTCTTTTACATATGAAGGCTTAGATACGTGAACCGTTAGATCAGCATCGCGTGGCAATGGGTAGGTATAGGCGCACACCTATACGGTACCGGTCCGTGCCACCATTTCTTATGGCGAAGTGATTCACTCATATTCTCCCTCTACGCGCTTCTCCATTTTAGAACATGTCTAGGGTTTTCCTATTCTGCGTCTTCCCTATTTTTTTTTTTGGGACCAACTCTTGGGATGGAACACAAACAAGCTTACTGGTAATCACATAACACAAGTTTTAGCAACTTTATTAATGTTAGATACCATAACGAGATTTACAGCAATGTTCGACGATTTTATCAACTCAATGACAATTATTGATTCAAAAATCTATTTATTGAAATTATTTACAGCAATATTCTATGATTTTATCCACTCAGCGACAATTATTGATGCAAAAACCTATTTATTAAATTTGTTTACAAAAAAAAAAAAAAAAATTGCTTTTTACACACATTTCTACAAATGAGAAGCACTAAATACCACAAAAAAAAAAAAATAATGGTAAGGTATTATAATAGAGAAATGCTAGGGAAAGACTCTCAAAATTGTGACTCTCCATGGATTCTCTGTCACCTCATGCTTTTTGCACAATGTTTTATAGTGTATGTCACTAGTAGAAAAAAACAGCTTGCGCAACGAACAAAATTTTGTCCCACAAGAGGTCCTTGCGCGACAAAAACAAAGTGTCGTTATGCAAAACAAACAGGAAAAAAAAATATTTTGCTCAATGAAAGTATTCGTCGCTCAAGAACACTTAACACGACGAATAAGCCTTGTCATTGCGCAAAGTCAAGAAGAAAAACACACAGGCGATTATTTTGGCGCGAGAATCTTGCGCGACAAAAAATGGACTTTGTGCAACAAAGGATTCGTCACACAGGGTCCTGAATTAATTGCAAGTGAATCAGAGGAATCAATACCGCATTTAGTACAGATGTTTGAGAGATGAAGCATTCGTCGCGCAACCTAACTTTCCTATAAATATGCGCTTTTGTTGTTCTTATTCTTCACAATTCTATTCTCCTTATTCATCACAATTTTGTTTGTTGTGAGATGGAGGATAAAAACAAGGATCAGAGTGTGACCAATGCCAACCCAAATGATTTGAGGCAGCATTTTCAGTTTGCTCATGCGATTGCTGTAGCCATGGGGAACAATTGTCCTACTGCTGAGTGGCGTTCTTGGAAAGATGTGCCTGAGAATGCGAAGAAGGTGGTGATGGAAGAATTATTTTTAAGTATATTGTTGATGGATCAGTGAGTAATTTTGTGAAATTTTTTTTTATTGTATGTTGGAATTAAATATTTGCATATATGTGTAACAGTGTAAGTATACTCTTGATAATGATACGAATGAATAGTTGATGAAGTTGATGGAGGATGCGTTGGAGGGAGGTTACAATAGGTGGCATTATGAAGTCCAGCAAAATGGAGGACCATCGAAATAGCAGTTTTAAATTTATGAGTTTGATAGAAGCATATTCATGCGACTTAAATGGCTTGTTCTCGTGCATTTACGTTATGTTTCTCTAGTTATTTTAGTCCTTTATGCTTCTTTTGTGTGTTTTCAGGTTCTAAGGGCTTAGGGAGCAAGAAAGTGCATTTTGAGGCTATTTGGAGCATTTTTGGGCATGGATTGGATAGCTTATCCATGGAGCCAAAAGGATGGACGAAATTGAAGGCCATTGATGCACTTTAGGACATACAACAAAGGGCCTAGCCCATTCTCTCTTATTCTCTCCCTTATAGCTATGCGAAGAACCATCCATTCCATAAAAAACAACCCTATTTTAAGCCCATTCTAAAACCTTGCCATGCATCACATGCATTCCCCTCATAACCTAGTTGTCATTCCACTTCATCAACAAATGCATTCCTTTCATAAATCAGCAACATATTCACCCACATGCACTTTAATCATTCAAACATGCACTCCCATTAATTAAACCATTCAAACCAACACAAAAACACCAACATTCCCTCTTTGCCGTGCAAACACATGCATTTCCCTTGACATTTTCAGCCATCACACTTCATCATTACACCACCATTCATTCTTTAATCCACATACATTCATCATCATTCACCCTAACTTCAATTCACATGCAAACAACACCCATTTCTGCACCAAAGAAGTCTATGCCGTGACCTTCCTAGCCATTTCCAGCTTTTCCCTTTACATTTCACATGCATTCCATACCTCTCCTAGCTGTTTTCCATCATTATTTCAGCCACCATTCACTCTT